ATGTATGATCTCTACTAGACGTGAGAAAACCCACTGTACACCCCGAAACCTCAAATGAGGCTAATGATAAAGGCACGTTTCCTACAACACATCAAGCGGTCTACCAGTTCGGAAGCTTCCGTTACGTCAGGCTGCGTTTGACTGCGCGATGACGCACATGGTAGCGCGTCGTCGCGATGTCTGAACGCAACCTTAGTTCCCCGAGTTTTTGAGACTTTCTCTTTGTAAAGAGCTTCTTAACCCGCCTGCTAACTAAATCAACTTCCTTTATCCGAAATTTCTTTGGGGACTATGCAAAGATATGATGGGCCTAGGACGGGGAAAAGAGGTTGGACCCCCTTCCTCCATCCCCGGAAATCGGGCTAAAGAGGTATAGTTGTTAGAGCGCAAGTTTATTAGCTGCAGCACAGAATCTGACCTTCTAAACATAAATTAATCTAGTACTGGACACAGAAACTAATTTGTTAGTTGACTGAATCGATTTGGTCAGTTTGATTACGTTCTAACCGGCTAGCAGGAAGACTGAGCTTAGCGAGTACGCGCATCATGGCCGCATTTTCTGCACGAAGTTGCAAATTGGCCGCAGTGAGCTCGTCCAAGTCCTGCATGCAACAAACCGAGACTTAGAAGCGTACAAAAATACAGCAACCCTAGCCGACCACTGTCAATTGCAATGCCACTCTAAAAAAGACAGAGCCCGCGATTACCACTCGTTGGAAGAGGGGTTCCAAAGGTAAAGAACGTCAAGTTGCTAAAAATTAGTAATGGAGGAGAAAAGCAAAAAGGAACCTGTCGAGCCCCTCCCCCTACACCCCGCCGCACCGTACACCGATGGTAAAACGGATCGATAAAGGTGGAAAGCAAATACGAGGGCGGAGACTGCTTATCCTGGCACAGCCCCAGCGTCCTAATAGGATATTTTCAAGCTGCGAGAGGGGTGTGGCAAGGCAATCGCAATATGTCGCGCTGGTGGGTGTGGAGAGCGGTGCCGTGCCCTACAGGGGGAGGGGTCTGCTAGGCTATCTGAATATGAGTAAAACGAGTTTGTTTGCTCTGAACGACAAACCGATGAACATCCAGAATATGCTGTGCATGGTCGCACGATTCGCCGCACGCGGTGACGCGACAAATTGCGATTGTCTCCCTGCTTCAGGATATCTGTCAACCCTTCTTTTCCATCCTTCCTCGTTCCTTCCCTCTTCTTTTTACTTCTCCCTTCAGATGGTCGGCCATTAGATATGATGGGAGAATAGCTCTAAATCCTCGCATCGAGAACATGTCCGTCTGACTAAACCCCTATGATTCCGTCGCGAGAAGAGGGGCATCCTCTGCGACTACACCACGCCTTCTTGTGTAAGTCAGGGTTTCTGCACGTTGGGAAATCGTGGACTCTGTCTTTGATAAAACCTGGAGAACACTCAAATGAGACCTTACCTTGAGCTGAATCTCGAGATCAGCTATCTTTCGTTCTAGAGTGCGTCGTTCGCTATCGTCTATGGAATTGCCCGAAGCCGATTTTGTGATAGGATTCGGTCCGCCAGCCGGAGAACCGATTCGAAACCGTGACGTTGTTGTACGCAAGGAGGCACTCTGAAATAGCTGATTACATGCCCATTCATTCCACCAGTGGAGTGCAGGTTTCGGCGCAGTTCGGCGACGAGAAGAGGGGGGGGGGGGAGGGTACAGGGAAACATTCCGCACGTTTGCTTCCTACTTTTGCCTACCTTCCCGTCGACCTGCCGAGCCATCACGTAAAGCTGCGAGACCTGCTGACAATATTGTTAAGCATTGAAATGCATTCCATCCAAAGTTTGTAGCAGACACATCAACTGTTGCTAAGGCCAATGAAATACCCATACAAATACCATTCACCTTGGTGCGCTCCGAGGATACTCGCTCCAGCTTCACAAGAGTGTCACAGGTTCCAAAAATAGTTACTTTGCAGAACGAGCGAACTAGGAAGCAAACACCGGATATAGTGAAGCACGAAACGGCAAAATGCCCCCCCTCACCGGACACGTCCAGATTTCAAATGACACTTACGTGTTCTTGGGCACGTTTCAGTTCCTCAACCTCCTTTCGCAATCGTTCACACTCAAGTTTCTCTTTTTCATAGACGCGCTTTGTAGTTCAAATTCATCTCAGCCGGACGTGAATTGACTGTATACTGGAAAACACGATCGATAATTCAGAAAGGCAAAGAAAGAAAGGCAAAACATTGAGGCAAAACCCACAGTAGCAGATGTATAAGAATTGTTGCCAGTTGTTTGCCCTGGTCGAGGTTGCACCCGTCCAACCACAGCCGTTGGGGCGACATTTCGAATTGTGGCGGTCGTTTGACTCTGAAAAACAACAATAAGAACCTAAAAAATGCCAAAACAAACATAAGACCCTAAGAAAGAAAGGAAGATTCTCGTCTATTATTAACTACTTCTAGAACGGCGAATACTAATCCGATTAAGAGGGCATGTGGTGCAGGTTCGGCCAGGTAGCGGCGTGCGAACGCGGGGCAAAACGGGGGCGCCAGGGAGGGGGACCCACCTTAATCGATCACTGCGCAAAATGGCGAGTTTACCCGTGCTGTCAAAGCATATTCTGGCCACCAAGAAATTTAGCGGGTAGAGGCCAGGAGCAAAGCTGTAATACACCGCGCTTGTAGCGGATGGGAACCGACATGAAAGACGAGTTGTCCGCCTAGCGCCGATGCGAATCTACGCAGTGTAAGAGGACGGGACAATTCAGTAGCGCCATCTACCGAATTTTGTCTTCCGCATGAACTCATACGATTTCATTGCTTGCGTCGACAATTGATACACAGTTGAGAACGTGCCGCTCATCGCAGCATGAGACGCCGCGCGCCGCGACGCGACGAACTGGGCTGCTTTCATACTTTGCGTCAACGACCACCAGCGTCTACCACAGTCACCAACGTTTCGAGCGTATGCCACTGCCAGCGACTAGGAAAGTATAGATATCGATCTAGCGAACGCCAGCGTCCTACCTAGCGTCCAGGAGTGGAGAGTATGGGGAAGTAGGAGGGTAGCAGACAGCTGGATTAGGCGTCGTGAAATTGCGGCGTGTGCAACCGCACCGTACAACTGCACTACACCGTACATCAAGATTGCACGATTCCGTGCTTAAGCAGTTGCACGGTGGGGTTGCACACACCAATTTCACGACGCCTAATCGAGCTGCCTGCTTCCCTATTACTTCCCCATACTCTCCACTCCTGGACGCTGGTAGACGTTGGCGTTCGCTAGATCGATATCTACACTTTCCTAGTCGCTGTCGCTGACGTACGCTCGAAGCGCTGGTGGTCGCTGGTGGACGCTGACGCAAAGTATGAAAGCGGCCTTGCGATTGTCTTCTCCGTCTCCCAGAAATGGGTTCATCCTGGAGCCCCACTAGGGTGAGCAGAAAATTTCCCTTTTTCTTCATAAAAGTCTTTTTAACAGCCCCGCTCTTAGCCGACATGCACTGGAGAGGTTACAAATGAACCAAGAGTACAGTAGGAGACATAAGGTTCTTCTAGGTGCTCTACTAACAAAACAAAAACACAAAACAACAGTTGAAGCCACCGTACCACAGGATTGACGACTGAAGTCACTTCTACTGAGCCTCGCACAACATCAGCACGACCAGCAGAAACGCTTGATATTGGTGGTCGAGTGAGAACAGAGGTGACTGTTCCAGAAATACGAACAGTAGGTGAAGAAGGCTCTGTGGGTGCAGAACGTGCAGCTGTTGTCGCAGTGTTAACGTTCTCGGTAATCTGACGAACTGACACCGCAGCTTGTATATCCTCGGGTAGAACGGGACCTGTTCCTCGGCGATTTGAACGAGAAACTGTCAAGCCCTACATAAACACAATCAACATAAGAATCATGCTTGGGTTCGGCAAAAACAATATTCACAACATATTTACACCGCACAGCAATCTCGAACTGACTCAAAGAATAGGCCCGCTACCTGACTCTTTCTTCGCATTCCAGTGGCTGCTGAATTTGCTGTCGAAGCTGATGACAATGAGAGAGGCGCCGCAGATGCTGCAGTTGTCGACACTGGCTGTGAGCGCTCTGAACTGCTACGTTCAGCCATCGCAGGAAAGTCTGAAGGAAATCGCCTAGAAAATTGTCAAAAAAAAGAAAAGAACAAAAATTGAAAGCAAAGACTTCCTTATCTCCTGGCACAAAAAGATAAGCGGTTTAGGTGAGGGGTATCCGGGGTTGCACCAATCCCCACTAATTGTAGAGAAATATCTTCTTACACTGGCTTATAAATAGCTGTGTAACCCCATGACCAATGAGCGATCGCAACATTAGTATGTGTTCAGCTCTTGAACTCTCTTTCTTCAAAATCCTTGGCAACTTTCCTTCATAGTGTACGTTTACCACTGAATACGTGAAGCCGTCGAGTTAAGAGGGTAGTAAGCAACCCTGGTGGCGCAACGGATAGCGCACATCTGAAAGCGTGAGGCGCACGTTCAAGTCCCGCCGGGGATAAAGGCTCCTGGCCACAATTCAGCATTCTTGTGATAACTTCCGGAGCACGAACTGCGTCAGAAAACAGCAGCTATCAAAAGAAAACGTTGTTTGCGACACCAACATGAGGTTCTTCTATTTTGATAACAGCTGCTTAAGGTCGCGGTTTGCGCTATAAAAGTTATCACAAGAATGCTAAGTTGTGGGCAAAAGCCTTGACCCGAGGCGGGATTTGAACCCGCACCTTACGCTTTTCGGACGACTGTGTCATCCGCTAGACCACCCGAGTCGCCTCTTACCCACTCAACTCGACGGCTTTTTTAATTCGATTTGGAACAAATACCATGAAGGATTACAAAGAACTTTGAAGAGAGTGTTCAAGAGCTGAACATCAACTAAATTCTGACAATTATTATACTATGAGGTTTCCGCAGCTATTCATGATCCAAGGTCAGAGGATATTCCTTCACAAGAAATGAGGATTGGTGTAACCCTGATTTCTCTTAACATAAACGCTTACTCATTTTTTGCTATGCGATAAAATGTTCTCTAAAAGGAATGGCGACATATCCAGCGAATTACAAAACTCGAGAAACCGGGAGACAAATAGAAGCGTAGTTATAACCAATTGAGAAACTAGTCATATAAAGAACAACACTAGCAAGTTTTCCCCTCCAGCCTAGCATGGGAGAAAGAAACTCAGTAGAAAATTTCAATATGACCTGTTTCTGATGAGATGATCATCATTCAAGCTCGATGTTTCATCGAAATCACATGAAACGGGGGGAATACAACAAAACTTCGCACCTCGAGGAGGAGCACTTCCTGCCCGACTAGAAACTGATTCATCCCCGTACCCTTGTCTGATAATTCCTGAATCGATCCGAACACATATGAAGTTTGAACACGTCTCCTGGCCGAAGGCAAGGCGAGCATACCTCTCTACATGCTATCATCATATATTATAGATTTAACGGAAATGGTACAAGAGTTAAAATAAGGGGAATAATATTTTACAGGCACCGTGGGCCGACTTGCTCTAGGAGGCGGAAGTTGATGCCAGCGCACTTGTGGAACGACCTACGGGAACCACGTTCCTCCTCATCCCCCCACCAACAGCTCTTCTAGCCAATGCTTTCAGCGCAACCCGCCCACTCTCACGATGTGCCCACTTTCTATCACGCTCTAAACTTTAAACAATCGTCGACTACAACTAAAATTATGGAACAAACAAACAAAAAACAAATTATTTTCAACCGTTCCGACTAGAGTCATGAACACTGGAGAGCGTTAGAAGTTACACTTTGAGTTGCCGCTAAAGCCCGTCGTCGAGCATTTTCGGCCATTGCAATTCGACTAGCCTCTTCAAGATGTTCCTACAAATATATAATAAAAATTTCATATTTTCACAAGCCGTTTCAAACAATTCTAACACTTTTGCCGCACCTTAGTCACCCCCTGCGTTGAACGTCGATGTTGTCTCTGCATCCTTGCAGTATTCCTTCTTTCAGCTTCGCTCTCAATAACCGCACTTGACTGCCACGGCCTTAAATACAGAAGCTATTGAAAAAAAGTACGAAATAAGGGAGGTTCATTCAAGGGATCAAGATTAATACGTCGAAAGATTACAGTGCTAGGAATCGCATGGGTCACTCCATCTCCTTACCAGAGAAATCCTGAGGGGCAAGTCTTATTCCTTACAAGTTAACAGATGATGTTTCTCTGTGCAATTGACACATTTAGCTTGACAGGCAATCCTGGAACATCAGCCACATTTTGATTGCGTTTGCGTTGGGGGAACACATAGACACACCTTTCTCAGGAGAAGTCTGAATACCTGAACATGTATCTCACAAGTGGAAACGCTTACAGAGAGGTCCACCACTTACCTGAACTTTTATGGAGACCCTGGGTAATGATAGAGTGATAAGGTTGTTTTACATGTGATAGCGAAACTGAACCTGCATTCACAATCAAACTTATAAACGGTTAAATTTATAATGGTGGCATAGGTAGAGTCATGGTGAGCTGTGGAGCATAAGCGAGGAATCGCACATGTCGAATCGAGTCGTAGTGGTTCGGTGGTAAGGCTCGACGTTCGACGACTCGATTCGACGTACGCGATTCTTCACTTATGCTTCACAGCTGGCCACCAAGCCTCCATTCTACTGCACCATTACACCTATCCACTGTTCATATGTAGCTTGTGAAATGCAGGTCACAGTTTTACTATCTATATTTAAATAACCTTATAGACTCTATCGATCTACCCAGGTCTATATGCAAAGTTCCACGGTAAGTTGGCGGACCTCCGTGATTAGCACAGGCGAGGTTCCCTGCCGGCGTTTGAGTTTTCCCTCAAGATGTTGCGATATTCTTATCCGTGGAGTCAACTACGTCAAGGGACAAGGTTGCTCAATTTCAGTGTTTCCGGGTGTTCTGGTGTTTTCAGTGTTCAAGCGGGTACATTGGGCAAGACGGTTTCGAGAGACGAGCGGATGTGATTACCTGTTAGGACCTGCACCGCAGCCATTCCATAGATAGTGCTTCCTGGCACTTGTAGAGTAGTCCGGTTATCGTCTCTAAGAGTTATCCTCTCTGAGAGTATACTCTCTGAGGATTATCCCTTTCTCGAGGCTTCATCGCAAGTAACGAAGGCGGCGTGGCCCTCATAAGTGGCAGCTCTGACGCCTCCCCAGTTGCCGCCGCCTACTCAAAAACAACATAGGGCTATTCTAGTTATGAAGCTCAGTTTTCGACCCTCTGTATTCGTTGTTTTTCACTTCGGGATGGGATTAGTATTAGATGACGCGAAGAAACGATTAGTGAGCGAGAGGCGGCAGGATATCGCTTTGTTGGCATGAAACGAGCCGGTCCCGAAACTCGTCAAGAGAACTCGCCCAGTACTTTGTGTCTTTGATTGTCTTCCTTAATCTTTTCTTTAAACGACTTAGTTCGTAATTGCACGCCATTATTCACAACATACAATTACAGGGCTTGCCACTGAGGAGGTCAAACTACACCGGGGGCAAAACTCTAACCAAATGGGACAAAACAACAACAAATGAGACAAAATGGGACAAAAAACTCTATTCCCCGTGGAAACAATATCGATCGAACGTAGCCTGAGTTTCTAAGGATAGGGCAGAAGAGGGTAGAAGTAGTTCTGTGCAAAGAGTAATCAGCCTCAACGAGTTGCGATCATGAGTGATTTGGGAGGGGTTAACTATGAAAAAAGATAGCCATGCAAAGAAGTATTGGGATTCGTATTCAGTAAAATCAGTGCAGCAGCCAATGTGTGGTATTGTGTAGTCAAATGGAAAAGTTAGAAGGGAGCACAGTAAATGTTACTGTTTTAGGGTTGCACACTGCTCAAAAGTAAAGTAGCACCTCATTTTGCTTGGATTTAGTTGATGTGGATGAAGACCACGCGGCAATTCACCACATACTACTGGAGGAGCAGCTTCGGTAGAGTTGACTAGTGGACGGAAAGCAGAAATTTTGCTCTGTATGAACGGTGAACAAGAGGAACCCATAGTGAGTGTCTGTGAATCGACAGACATTGGGTTCCTCCCACGTGATAGGGATGCCCACGGCAAGTTTGACGGTGTTGATTTCGATCGCTGCATCGGCACAGGAATACTACTGCAATACCCAAATAAAGTGATATAAGAACTACTTCGAGACCACTATAGGCTGATGGGGAGCACTTTGCCTCCACTGCGTCTTGGAACGAATCAGCCTGACATTGGTAGTAGAGCTCACTAAAACTACGCATCAGGAACTCGATGTCAGTTCTAGGAGCATCAACGGCAGGGGACGCAGCTTGGCTTGGAGGACGAGGGGGGGGGGGATCTTCCGCTTTCGCTGCTTTTCACTGTGTTCACCGCTTTATAAGATTGACAGGTCTTCTTCCGCAACAGTTGGCTAGTATTTTTTTACAAACTTTGACGAGTATCACTTTATGGCTTTGCGGGATCTGCTCCAAGGGTTGCGTTCATACTTTGTGCCAGCGTCCACCAGCGTCCACTAGCGTCTGCCAGCGTACAGCAGCGTTTTCGCGGGCAGTTTTGTTCAGATTAGAAGTGAAAAGGCTGCTGTACGTTGGCGGACGCTGATCCAAAGCATGAATGCAGCCTGACAGATAGCTCGACACGACATTGGGAAGCAGCGAAAGTCCAAGTGACCCGCCTTCCCCACGACCCCAAGCCCAACTACGCCCTTTCTATAAAACCCCTAATCTCTCAGTCGTTGAACTATAAAAGCCTGCAGTTTCCTTACAAAGACCTTAGGAAGCCTAGGCGCTTAAGAACTGACAGAAAGCAGTGAAAAGAATGGTAGAACGACAACGACCTAAGCACCGTAACCGCTATTAAATACAATCGATCCCCGCATGCCCCTTAACAAACGGTCTCATCGCTTCATCACTTTTCTTTTTCGCAGCAAAAAATACAACGGAGAGATGGGAAAACGCATTCTTGCCTCTTTAGCTAAGAAAACTACAATCTTTAGCTGTTTGAGCGATACAGGTACAAAAGTTACTATTAGTGCTGCTAAACCTTTTTGAAGCAAAAAAAAATATATCTGGACATATTTTCAAAAAGCCATCGCAAGTGGAATATCATGAAACCCCTTATTTCTCGCGAAATACCTGAGAATACAAACTTGAATTTAGAACTAAATGATGAAAACTTGGAAAAAACTCACGGTGGTTTTGAAAGAACAGAAGGGCTTGCTGCAGTGAAGGGAACACTACTTCCTGATGATGTTGCCAACGAAATTGACATAGGTGATGAAGAAGAATCAGTCGATGCCGCTGTCGAAGAACGAGTTCCCGATGACCCGCTTGAGCTACCAGATCTACAAATTTCTTAGCTTAAACTGTCACATGCATGCTCCAACAAATGCGCAGTAAAGCGAATACTTGTAAGTTTTCACCACTTCATCGTTTTGTCCACTACTGCTATGCAAATCCTAGTGAGAACAGGGCACGCTCTACAGTTGAGGAAAAATTCTACAAAATACGACCCCCTCAAAAGTTCCTCCTCCGGTGTGACCCCCTTTCCCATACCCCATCCTGCCTACCATCTTCCTAAATCCCAACTTTTCAATACTTTTCGGAAGAGATTCTACAGTTTTTCTTCGCAACACCAACCCCAGAGCGGCAAGCCGGAGAAGGGTAACATAGTGAACTGGGACAAGTAAAGACAACACGAGAACGTTTTTTCCTTAGAGCAGATACGACTGCCTCCTCCCCACCTTTGCCGACCGAATACGACCCCCTCGCTGGAATGACGAATAACGTGTCTGACAAGGGAATGGTTTGAGACGAGATCTGTGTGGTCAAAGTTTGAGTTCTGGCTCGTAAGCGCTGCTGATCGACGCTTCGGCAGTGCCAGCGTGGCCTCATGGTAATATGTCACCGCTTTCAATCGAAGGACGCGGGTTTGCATCCCGGTTGGGGCGCAAAAATTTTGCTATGCGCTCTTATAGCAGAGCTTCAACTCTAATTTTCGAAATTCTTCCGAATTTACGGCCCAGCAGGGCAAGTAGATCAAGTACATCAAGTATACGACATACTCGATCTAGTATGGATTTGGTCATATCTGCCCTCTCTGAACATATTCCCCATCATTCGTTCATGGGAGATTTCGACCTCCTGAGCACGAATATCACATCTTTCGACGAAAAAACGCTCGTCTGGCCAAATTGCGATTCTGGGCAAAACTTTGAATTGTCGGATGGGTAATATGTTCAGAGAGGGCAGATATGACCACATCCATACTAGATCGAGTACGTCGTATACTTGATGTACTTGATCTACTTGCCCTGCTGGGCCGTAAATTCGGAAGAATTTCGAAAATTAGAGTTGAAGCTCTTATACGGAGCGAAGCAAAAATTTCCGCGCCAACCGGAGGCAAACCCGCAGCTTTGACTTGAAAGCGAGACTATTACGCACGAGGCCACGTTGCAAGCTGCGAAGCCCTGCGATCAGTCAGCGCTTACGAGGCCAGAATCAAAATTTGACCACCAATTCGTTCTGAGGATCCCCGTAGCACTTTTAATCTGCATATTCGTAATCAGCATTCGAGGCTCTATCGATGAACCTAGGTCTCCATTCAAAGTTCCATGGGAAGTTCAAACCATTCCTTGTGATGAGATTTTGAAAATTGCACGGTCCACAGCAAAACCCTGTATCAGTGACAAAGTCGCAGATGTAATGCCCTCGAAAAAAGGCATAGGCTATACTTACCCCTTGCAGCCTTCATAACGGCGTAATGTCGTCAGCTATGCCTGCAATTTGCTGCCGTTCGTCTGCACCCCATCACCGAAGTGTAGGGTGGATTCGATTAAAAACGATGGAGCCTCCATAACACAGAGAGCCACTCGAAACGATGCGTTAAGTCCCGCGCCCGTCTCATCGGTTCCGCTGTGTCTTTTTTATAACGTCGCCACTTAGTTCCGACCACACGCCATTTTCTGCTGTAGCTTTCCGCTTTCATCGGGGTCCCTCTTGATGATTTCCATCATCTTTTCTTTGAGGGCCTGCTTTCGGTCTCGCTTGGCCCTCTACTTATATCAATGCCTTCCTTACTGCGGGTGGTCTTCCGGCCTCGCTCATATAATGCCATCCGCAGTCGCCTCTCTCGTGCCTTCAGATGGACGGAGCGTCTATGTGACCGCCTAGTCTTCCATTTCTGACTCTGTGAGTCGTGTCCAACCGCAGGCCCATCTCAGCATCCTCATTTTAGCTGAGCCACTCGAAACGATTGCGAACAGTATATCGGTAAGAGGTCGCAGACGCGCACATGGGTGTTTCCCAATCCACGGATCTGCTTAGTTAGGAGTTCTACTCATCAGTCAGGGAAGAATCCTTCGAATGGAAAGGAAACTTCCAACGCATCATCCTTTGGTCAGGACCTATAAAAGATTGTGCAATGCTTACCGTGTTACTAGTTGGACCCCACGATTAATCCATGAGTTAGGTTGTTGGAAAGGTCGAGTAGCTATTGTAACCGTAGCAGTAACATGTTGATCACCACTTTGAATAGAAGATGTTGAACCGTCCTAAAAGTAAAATCATTCAAATTCCTTTCCCTGAGAGATAACGAGAATTCACCGATGACTAGAATCCATGGATACAGGCACATTGGCAGTGCGAGTTAAACTACTTGGTTTCACGGGTGATGATATGGATCGATCCGCCGACACAGTAGATCGCGTACATGACGAAAATCGGTCACCAGATGTTTCTTGCGCCGTCCTAAATACATTTCCAATTATTTCAGTACAAATGTCTATACAATCACCTCTGTACAACTGAGATTAATATAACCATCTACGACAAGCAAAAATGATAAACGTCCGAAAGTTTGATTTTCTTACTTCTAATTTTTAAATCTATATTAATCAAAAAGGTAGTATCATTTCGGCACGCGTTCATACACAAAAATGCTCAGATTACTGGCCAACCGACGATCGATTAAAGTTGTTTCTGGATTCTTTTCTTTCTTATTCCTAAGTGTTAGTACCCCAAATCTTAGTATTTTGGAGAAAGCCAGAATTTGTAGAAGAAAATTTCGTAGGTTAGAGGGGTTTGATTTCTTACAGAAGGGAAAACTAATAACTACGCTCAGGCCCCCAAACCTTCCAGGAACTCGGTGAATTTTTCCTCACCTCTTTTTGTTTGTCGTTGCAAATAAAAAAAGTAAAAACTTGAAAAACAATTTATAATAGTATTGCGCGTGTTTGTCCATCCGTTTCCTCGCGAAAATTAGACCGCTTCTAAGTGGCATTCTAGGGTGGACCCCTCGATAAGAACGCCTTTGCCACTACTGAGTTAGTACTTTAAAAGAGAGATCTTTCCCAGGAAGTGGCTGAAAACTTACATATACAGTTTCCCCTTAAAAATCTACATTGCCCCTACATTCAGCGCCTTCAGTAAGGCATTGCTCATCTGCGACTTTGCTGAATTGGCGAATGAACCGCATCTGCGAAGGGGTTTCGATACGTATTGACTGGCGTATCGGCGCAGCAAGCGGGCGAATTTGGTGCCTACGCAAAACGGGCCAGATACGCACCATCCCAAAGAGGCGGCGCTTGGCCCACGCAGAACGCTACCTCCCTTCGCTAACCCATCCTACTTTTGAGCAGAGTCAGCTATATCAATATCCAGCTCTTTACAGTAGGCGTCGAATTCGCCACAGTTTCGTTGGAGCGTTCGACAGTTTTCTCGGTAGATACTTATTTATTGTTTTTCGCCCCTTCTAAGATTCTTCAGGGTCACAGACTCGGAAAAAGTCTCAAGCACCGTTTTCTACTTGGCTCACTCTACACGGAAGCGTAGCATCAAAGATTATCGTGAAACGTAATAACGTACCTTGGCAAAGAAGGTGGTTCACTAGCGCTTCTTTCTACTGACGAGATCTTCTCAATTGCTGTGACCGGTGGACTGACTCTAGACTGAATCTCGTTGCTGGACTGACTTTCGTTGCTCGAGGCCTCTTGCAGTGATGGTGTCTCCGACGGTGGCGACGGCGACCTTTCTTCGATTTTTCGCAACTTTACAGATGAATGTAACACCTCATTTTCGCTAAAGTGAATAAACTTTTGAAGCGAAAATAACCAGAATTAATGAATACTCAACAACGAATGATAAGAATATCTTCACAATAAAGACAATTCACACCTCGCTTGATCTTTATTCTGAAGTTATTCTTATCATTCGTTGTTGAGTATTCATTAATT